CCAATCTAAAATTCAATTACTTAAACGCTAAAATAATAATCTTACCTGTGTTTTCTTTAATGTTCCAAAGGAATCCAAGTAACATGGTAAGTTTAAATTATTCAATTTTAATAATTTCCGAGTATAAACAATTGCAATTTCTGCATAATTAGTCTTACCATTTTTTACTGCGATTTTTTTGAGATTTTTTAGCTCAAACCGAATTTCAACCGAATTCGCAGAGAAAAAAAACTGAACTCAGAATGAGCCGTGTAGGCGGCTCATTTTGATGTGCAACAAAACTGAACCAGGTTGGTGGCGCCACTGTCTATGTCGTTTAGCATTGGCTTATTTTGATTTGCAACAAGAATGAGACTAGATTTCGATTTGCGCAATCCGCCAGGGAAACAAATTCCGGAAGTTTCATACGACAAATTGCAATTTTGATAAATAACAATTATGATATTTGTAGATTCGAATAAAAAAAAAATTTATGAAACGTTACTTTCGTTAAATATAAATATAAGGATAAATGTATTTTCATATTCCAATTATTTATAACAAACGCCAATTATTAAAAAATAATATTCTGTTAAAATGTTATTAGGCTTAACTAAAATTTTGACAATTGTTTTTTTTATTTAAGGAACATTGCATCATTTTACATTTAGATTAAATTGAACTTTTATTAGTTTTTAATTCATCTTTATAAATTTATACATAGTTAAACAGAAATCAAGTTGAAGCAAAAAAATTCTTTAGATATATAGAACGTTATTTTTTATTTCAGTTGTTATGTCAGATTTTAAATAAATATTAATTTTAACTAATCTGAACTTATAATTGTTCCCTATTCTAATTTCTTCAATTTAACTTGTTAAATTAACTAAGTTGGGAAGAGGTTTATTAAATGAGTGATTTAATATAATATAAAAATTATTTATTTTAAAAAATATAAAATGTTCTTAACAATTTGTACAATCAAATAAATCCTTGTTTGAATATTTGGTATGGTTACCTTTAAGATGTTTATATTGAGGAGTCTTCAATTGGCACCTGTTGTATTGACCTCCTAAGATTGGATCTTCTTGGTCGTTAAGATTTTTATTACCGCACGTAACCACTGAGAATTATGATAATTTTGGAAACTGTATCTAACACTTGCAATGACGAACTCCGTGTGTATAATTTGAGACTGCCTTTGAAGTGAAAGCCCAGCAAACACTGTTATATATCTGTTCTAGAACTGTTACAAATTTCTTGAGAACATGTTCTGTAACTGGTTAAGAACGTGTGAGTCACTGGTTACGCAAAACGTCGTACTCAGCAGGTATGTTCAGATATGTAACAAATCTAGAACGCGGTTACAAAGTCATTTGTAACAGTTCTAGAACTGTGTTGTAACAACTATGAAAAGAGGAATGTAACCAGTAAGGAACAGAGTTCTGTATTTGTTACGTAACTAAATTACGTAACAAGGATAAAAAAATATTATATATGTGTTACGTAAACGTATCACAGTGTAGGAACAAAAATCTATATTTGTGACATAACATTGTTTCAGTATGAATATGTATCATAGTTCTTTAAATGAGAAGAACAGTATAATGTAACAACGATCTAGTGTTGTTATACATGTTGTCCCGAAATTTCCAAGACATTTGGGTATTTTGTAACGATCTTATTTTTGAGAAAAAGAAACTTAAATGAAAGATTGTTCAGAATAACAAAATCAAATTGCATATTTTAACATATTTTGCTATTCTGAACAAATTTTTAAATTTTTTGTCAAAAAGGCTATTATTACGCGATATCCAGACATCCCTAAAATTTTAGGACACCCTGTACTATTGTGGTGCATAATAAAGTTGTTATTAGGTTATATAATTTATATTTAACACATTCTTATGTCATTAAAAAATTAAATGTAAATGTTTATATCGAGTTAATTTGATTTGACATACTGCTTTTTTCTTACAAATGTATGCACAAATGCTTTATGCTTGTTAATATAATAGAATTTTATTACTATTGTTACTCACAAAGTTAATATTCAAATAACTATATATCAAATACACAAAACATGTCTTATTATGAAATTAATAATTTTTTTTATTACAAATTTACATCAGGGCGAAATATATATGTGACACGGACAGTTAAAAGGGACTTACGATCCGAAAAAAAGATTTCGAGAAAAACGACTTTGAAGTTTAGCAAGTTGGTTTTGATGCTTGTGAACGTTTTAATGAATTAAAACTTGTTACTCGGAGGTTTTGGGGGTCGCTGATGACGATTATGATGTTATTTTTTGAAAATTCAAAATGGCGGATTCAATATGGCGGATGACTTTTTTAAAAATTGATCAGATTCGCTTGAAATTCGTCACTCGGGGATTTTCGGGGTCGCTGATTACGAATATGGTGTTAGTTTTTAAAAATTTAAAATGGCGGATCCAATATGGGGGAAGACTTTTTTAAAAATTGATCTGATTCGCTTGAAATTCGTTACTCGGGGGTTTTTGGGGTCAGTGATTACGAATATGATGTTAGTTTTTAAAAATTCAAAATGGCGGATCCAATATGGCGGATGACTTTTTTAAAAATTGATCGGATTTGCTTGAAAATCGTTACTCAGGGGTTTTTGGGGTCGCTGATTACAAATATGATGTTAGTTTTTAAAAATTTTAAATGGCGGATCCAATATGGAGGACAACATTTAAAATTTGTTCGAATTTGTGTAAAAGTCAAAAATTTCGTTGAATCTGCCATTTTGAATTTTTAAAAACTAACATCGGATTCGTAATCAGCGAGCCCAAAAACCCCCGAGTAACGAATTTCAAGCGAATCAGATCAATTTTTAAAAACGTCATCCGCCATATTGGATCCGCCATTTTGAACTTTTAAAAACTAACATCGTATTCGTAATCAGCGAGCCCAAAAACCCCCGAGTAACGAATTTCAAGCGAATCCGATCAATTTTTAAAAAAGCCATCCGCCATACTGAATCCGCCATTTTGAATTTTCAAAAACTAACAGCGGATTCGTAATCAGCGACCCCGAAAACCTCTGAGTAACGAGTTTCAAGCGAATTTGACTAATTTTAGAAAAGTTTGTCAAATTTGATTTTGTTGTACTTTTTTTTGTCAAGGTACCTAACTTTGAAGTGAAATTGTTAAAAAACTAATGCAGCTAGAAAGCTGCGGTTTAATGCGTTGGAAAGAGCGGCTTATTTACTATATGAATCAATAAAAAAATGAAAATCGATTTTTTCGGACCGTAGGTCTCTTTTAACTGTCTGTGTCACATATATTTACAAGTATAAAATATGCATCACACATTCAACATCAAATTAATTATTTACGTGCAGAAGTGGAATAACAATGAAGCTATTATTTTGATTAATTTTGAGTCACTTTCTTTTAATGGCATTAACATGAATTATTTGGTTCGGAGAAAGTGTTTCAGAATTTTCAATGTAAATTAATAGAAAAAGAAAAAACCTAAGATAAGCAACTACTATCTTGGATATAAAACCACATATACGGCACTGTCAAATTTAAACTGTTCAAATTTAACTTTATATTTAAGACAAAGGACAGCTACATAACATTGTTCCGACACAGTTCTAGAACTACGTTGGAACATCACTTGCAGATTATTTGTGACTAACGTGTTACAGAAATGTTACGTAACATTGTTACAGAATTGTTCCGAATTGTAGTAACAAATGTCTTCCAGAACTTAACAGCAACAGAATTTCAGAACAGCTACATAACATTGTTCTGGCACAGTTCTAGAACTACGTTAGAACGTCAGTTACAGGTCACTTGTGACTATTGTGTTATAGAACTGTGACGTAACATAGTTACAGAATTGTTCCATTTTGTAATAACAAATGTTTTCTAGAACTTAACTGCAACAAAATTTCAGAACAGATACATAACATTCTTCTAGCACAGTTCTAGAACTACCTTGGAACGTCAGTTACAGATCATTTGTGACTTTCGTGTTATAGACATGTTACATAACATTGTTATAGAACTGTGACGTTATCATAATATAGAACAGTTCTGTCACTCTTTTGTAACAACTGTTCTGTAAAACTGTGACATCACTGTTATAGAACATTTATAGAACGTGTTTGCTGGGAGGTCGCCCTTTATATAGGTATATTTTCCAATGTATTCTTCGCGGCGGTACCAGCTCGCCTCTTTGGGTTAGATTCAAGATCGGTACCTCACAGACGTGAAAAGTGTTTATTGCTTTTCTTCTATGTGTTGGTGACTCCGCATGTTGATTTCCTTATTTTAATAATACAAAATGTCAAGAATCTTAAAGAAATATTATAATTTTTATATATTGATCATTTTAACATTAATTATGATTATTAACATTATTATTTTATTATACATTTAATATTTATAAACAATTAATTTACTCTCAAATATTCGTTTTATTTATAAATAATTGTTTATCCATAAATAATTGTTTACTTACAAATATTTGTTTATTTAAAAACAATTATTTATTTACAAATGTATTTAAAAAAATTAATTTTACATAAATAAATATAAAAAAATGTTACGGTGACGTGACACAGTATTTCATTGCGACACACAAATTTTTATTGGCTCGAAAATAAATGCCCAACAAACTTATTTTGGTAACAAGAAACTATTATTTTTCTCACAGAGTGAAAATGAAAAAGAAACAATGATCGCCCACTAAAAAAGTCAATGAATGCACAAAATATTGAACATTCAAGAAGGTCCAATAAAAAAAAATGAATACAACTTTTTCTTTTGTAATATCTTTAATTTCTTCACGTGTAATAAAAATGCTAATATAAAGACCTATATATACATTTAAATATTGTTATTTGTGTATATCGTTAAAATTTTAATATATACTCTTAAATAAACGACATCGTTTATATTAAAGAATCATAGTTTCTTATTAAAATATACGAATGAAAAGTAGTATAAAGGTTATGAACATTATATTTCATATAAGGCCTACTCTACGCACACATATAAACATGTATAGAGAATAAATATTAACTAAAGCCTGAAACTCTTCTTCTTTAGTATATTTTATTGATTTCATACAGTAAAGCCAAATACCTTTTTATTTGAAAATATTTTCATTACTTGCTTGTACTGGAACAACTATTTTTCTCTTCTTTTCAGAAATAGCAGAAAATAAAGGTTGAAAAAGCTATAATATTACATAGTGTATGCGAATCTGTTGAAAGAACTTTATTATGCACGTTAGAATGTTGAGATCAAGGCCCGTTTAAAATACCACGACTTACGAGAAAACTTATTGCAATAAATAAACCAATCTTTTAATTGTTCATTAAACATTTTATAACGTTTACTATTAATTAAGTCCATAACATATGTTTCAAAATTTAATATGAATGTAAACAAGAAGCTCATCGAATCAATATGAATTATTTATAAAAGAGAACAATTTTATGCAAATTTTTATTTAAAGTGAGCGAATCAATGTAAAATGTTTATGAAAAAATGTCTTTATCTAATTTGTACAAATCACAATACATTTGATATTTTCGTATAGAAAACATTTAATTTTAACAAAATTTTGTTATTAAATTTAAAAAAATGAATTGTTAAACATTGAAATAAACATTAAAAAATGCTAATCATGCGCGAGAGGATGAAAGTTTATTTTCACCACTTTTCTTGATTAGATCAGAAAGCCAGTCAATATTTGCGATTGAAAGTCGTATATTTCTTTATTGCAACGTAATTTGACACGTCTTCAAGTTGTACAGATAATGAAAAATCTTGTTTCCACGTAAGATTCTAACTAGTAAATTTGCATCTGTCTAATTTGATCATCCTGAAGACAGCTCTTTCGATTGAAGTGTTTACATAATGTTTTTGCAGACTGCATTAAACTTGCGGTTATTATAGACGTTCACACACAGACTCAGAAGAACAACTTTTCTCTATTTCTATTTTCTCCGGGTATACGAATGTCTTTATTTTACCAATGCAATTAGCACTGTCTCTTGGTTAATTTATGCGTAATAGTTTGCACTTTATGCAGATGAAAAACGTTCATTCTCTCTCTAAACAAGACAAAATTGTTAAAGTTTATTTGACTGCTTTTATTTGATGCACGTATACACTTTTATCACGCATGTGTATATGATGTATTCCACGCCAAAGTGAAAGTCTATGTGCAATTGCATCTCCGATTTTTTTGAGTTTTTTTTACTTTTAGTACTAATTGAGACTAACTTCCATGAATTTTTTCAAATTTTTTTGGCAAGCCGTTTTCGAGTTATGGAATTTTGAAAATTGGAGAATTTTCATAACTTTTAATTTTTGAATGCTCATAACTTTCTTAAAAATGCATCAATTTTAAAAGTCTTTTTTTTTCAAAATGTGTATTTTTAAACGTACTTTCCAAAAAAAAAATCGAAAATTTTTTTTAAACGATATTACTATCAAATTTTGGAGTTTTAATGATAAAAAGTCATTTTTCTCATTTGACGTACCATAAAAAAGTCCCAAAATTTATGGTTTTTTTCGTTTATTGGGTAAAATATGCAAAATTAAAAAAAATGTTCAAAAATACATTTTTTATATCTTATGTATTTTTTTTAATTTTTCATATTTTACACAATAAACGAAAAAAACCAAAAATTTTGGGACTTTTTTATGGTTTTCACCAAAAAATCAAATTTTTGGGTATTGTCACTATGATTTTCGTAATCAGCGCATCAAAATACATAAAAGTACGTAGTATAAAAAAAAACCAAAAATATTTTTAAAAAATTCAAAATTCAAAATTTTTTGAAAAGTTCCGAAAATATTCTAAAAATCGTTTGCCCATTATTGGGCTAGGCTTAAGAGTTTCGTAAAAAGAAGTAGTTCTTTTGAAAAAATTTTGAAAAAAATCGATCAGTACGTCAAATGAGAAAAATGACTTTTTATCATTAAAACTCCAAAATTTGATAGTAATATCGTTTAAAAAAAATTTTCGATTTTTTTTTGGAAAGTACGTTTAAAAACACACATTTTGAAAAAAAAGACTTTTAAAATTGATGCATTTTTAAGAAAGTTATGAGCATTCAAAAATTAAAAGTCATGAAAATTCTCCAATTTTCAAAATTCCATAACTCGAAAACTGCTTGCCAAAAAAATTTGAAAAAATTCATGGAAGCTAGTCTCAATTAGTACTAAAAGTAAAAAAAACTCAAAAACATCGGAGATGCAATTGCAGATAGACTTTCACTTTGGCGTGGAATACATGATATATTAATGTGAATTGTATGTAAATATATAATTCCTACCCGTACAGCACAAGATTTTTGAAGAATTTTGAAAAAAATTGTGGTAAAGACACCAAAAAAGTTTTTTGGTGCCTTTGACATCCCAGGAATATCTGAATTCTCCCTTTAATATCTGTGGGTTATCCATAAATTTGTTCGATATATCCCAAGGATATCTAATAACTGTTCGTCTACTGACTAAATCTGTAAATTTCGTATGCTGGTCAGTGATTATAATTTATTTTATATTTATAATAATGGACACATTTAAACCCCCACCCACTGATTAACCCCCCCCCACAACTGCCCCCCCACACTGATATTTCTTAAATTTATACATATTAACTTCGCAAGGCAGCAAATTTTAAGGAATTTTCTAAAATATTCATGAAATTTTTTTTGAATCTTCATGGAACTTTCTAGACACTTTAGTAAAATTTCTAGAAACTTATTTCAAACTTTAAGAAACTTCATAGAACTTTCAAAAAAGTTTATAAAAACTTAACAGATATTTATAGTATTTTCTAGAAATTTATAGAACTTTCTAGAAATTGATAGGATTTTCTAGAAATTTATAGTATTTGCTAGAAATTTATAGAATTTCCTAGAAATTTATAGAAATTTTTAGGAAATTAAAGAATTTTCTAGAAATTTATAGAAATTTTTAGAAAATTAAAGAATTTTATACAAAATTTATAGAACTTTCTAGAAATTTATAGAATTTTTTAGAAATTTGTATGTAGAACTTTCGAGAAATTTAAAGAATTTTCTAGAAATATGTAGAATTTCTTTGCTTATATTCCTTGATTCTTTCTTTATTAATACTCTCTCCCTGCACAAACTGCAGGGTTCGAGGAAACAACATACAATTACAAAAACCTTATAAACTAACATAACCCATACCTATTATTCCTTAATTCAAAAGATATTCAGTGATAAAAATTATTCATGCGTGGAGATTATAATTTCTAAAAAATATAATGTAAAAAAATTAGATTTTTTAATAATAGAATGCTTTTATTATTGCGTCCTAAAAAGTAATAAAAAATATAGAAAAATTGTAGAACTGTTTAAAAGTTCAATAAAAGAAAAAACTTGAAAGAATTTATGTTTGACAAAATTAGTTATATCATTCTAAATATTTTTTAAATTCAAATCCAGTCAAAAAGATCATGGCAGTTCTAAGTATTTTTTGAAATTGATTTTTTTACGTTCAAGAAAAATTAATTTATAAAAGCATTCAAAGTTAAAAGAATACATTCATTGTGAAATTTTAATTTTGAATGCTTTTACAAATTAATTTGTCTTAAACCTAAAAAAATCAATTTCAAAAAATACAATCAGAACTGCCATGATCTTTTTGATCGGATTTGAATTTAAAAAATATTTGGAATGATATAACTAATTTTGTCAAACATAAATTCTTTTAAGTTTTTTCTTTTATTGAACTTTTAAACAGTTCTATAATTTTTCTATATTATTTATTACTTTTTAGGACGCAATAATAAAAGCATTCTATTTTTAAAAAAATTTATTTTTTTACATTATATTTTTTAGAAACCACGCATGAATAATTTTTATCACTGAATATATTTTGAATCAAGGAATATAAGCAAAGAAAAAATTTTGGGTTCAATTTGATACGTATAATAAATAAAATGAGCTTAGCTATTTTTGTGAGTAGAGAGTAGCACATATGCGGAATATTTCCGCGTTTCTTCCGGTATCTGCGTATTTTGTTATCTTCTGCAGCTTCTTAGTTTCTTTCAATATTTATCAACATGGTACATTTGCAACTCCTTTATCGGAACAATTGATCCGACCACAGAAGAACGTCACGGTCACGATCGTCGCGGCTTGTATAGATGCACGCAAGCATAATTGAAATGCGTAAAACGAGACGACGCGACCAGCAGTGGAAAAAGTGCATGCATAAATAAAGTCGGGGGTGTCTACTGAAGTAAGAAATATGCATGCATGTTAGATTAGGCGTATAGCAGGTAGCAGACACCAGGCTATAATCGCTACTTGTTGCCATTAATATTAAGACCTTTTTGATAGGCACTACAATGTTGATATTTTCTCCTCAGCACACATTGTTTCCAACTCATGAAGCAACATCTTCTCGTAGAAACTAAGAACCGGTATTTAAATATTGCCACTTCCTTTTTGATTGACTTCTACAAAAGAAAGTTACACTGTTAGAAAAATCTGCATTAGATTTAATATGCATATGTATATGAAGCAAATATGCACTAAAGTTATTGAAATCAAAGGTACACTCGTGGCCAGATATATGCCTATATTTTTCTGTCATGTTGTCATGCCAACACTTGCGGTAGAAAAGGACTAAAAAGTGTAGACCTATACGACCACGCACTTAGAGGCAATATTGGAACACCCTTATAAATAAATATTTATTTGTATCAAATAATTTTTATTTTCGAATCAAATAGACTGCGTATGTATTTGAAACAAATAAAATTTATTTGACTCAAATAAAAATTATTATTATATTATTATTGTTATTAATTTGATTCAAAAAAATATTTATTTAATAATAGTCAAGTAACCGATTATTTGAATCAAATAAATTTTTTTTCAGTGTTGCAAACAACAATATGATACCCTGTGAGCAGAAAACCATGTTCATTCCAAAAACGTTCTTAAAACGTTTCATTTCAACCCTAAAAAATGTTCTAGAACATTATTTGAACATTCATGTTCTTCAAATGTTTTAGAACAATATATTTGGCGGACATTATTTTTTGCCCACTGGGGTAGACTATAATAAAATAAAAAGTTTATAAATCACAATACAAAAAAACAATTCACACTTACTTACTGTTTATTTAGTTATTTGTGTTATATATATATATATATAGATAATTACATAATAATTAAAACCTTTTATAAATAGATAATTTAAATAAATTTAAAAAATTAAAAATATTATCGAATGCGTCAACTGCTACGGTTTTGAAATTAACAGCTGTGTAGATATATCAATCACTGACAAAAGTCAATTTCTGTTTATCAGTTGCCGCGCATAATTAATTACCGCTCGTAGAATATTGTAGGTTATTTTTCATTGTAATTTTTAGTTAATTCGATCAAAAAATGTATTGAAAATAAATATTTTTTACATAACAACAAAATAAATAACATAGATAAATTTTCTAATATTAATTAATTTTATAAATTCAAATATTTATAAAATCATACTAAAAACAAAGTATTTTGCATAAGTCTGATCTTATACGCATGAAGAAAGTCACTATCTACATTATTTACGAAAAATGAGTTTTTTATATCTTTGGATTTGTTGTAAAAATTAAAATTTAACTGTGCTATCCATAATTAAAAGTATTAATTAATTTTCAAGATGATTAGACCGTAATTTGATTGAACCAAATAAACTTTTCATTGTGATTTAATCAAAATTTGGTTGTTTTAAAGAAATTTGTTTCTAAGCATAAATTAAGTGAAATATAGATAATTATATTATTGTAACTATAAATATTAAAAAAAAAATTTTCTTGTGTCAGGGCTTGATTTATGGAAAATCTGACTAGTTCCTAACGAGTTTTTCGTTAATAGATCATTGATCTACTAGAACAAAATCACAAACAAATTCGCGAGTGGCTAATATATTATTTTATTCATGTATGTATGAAATGAATAAATTTTATAATAGTATTTAATAATTTTAAATCCATATAGTGCAGAGAAATTTTAAACAATAAGAATTTCTTTACATTTCGTATACATGAAAAGTAATGAACAGTTTACATTAAATAATTGTCTTGAGAAAAAATATTTCTTTGTTTTGTAGAAAGTTTGATATACTACGACTGCCCTTTTATCTTAAATAGTAAATTCGTAATAGTAATATAATGAAAACACGCTTAAGAATGCAGAACAATTTCAATTTGGCACCCAAAAAATAATAAAAGATAACCTTTTAAGAATAAGAGAATAAGTGTCATAAAATAAAAAGTGAGGGAAAAACTCGTCTATTTCGATTGTAGTAATATATTCTCAGTATTGAAGTAATAATTTATTGGTTACCTTATTTGGTAGTTGGCAAATCTTTTTTTTCCTTCTCTCTTTGCAAACTCGAGCGCACTAAACTGTCTAAAGTAGGCAATATATTTCCCCACTTGGTGAATAAGATTTGATTTCATTCGCACGTTCTATTCACTTCCAAGACTATAAGTGGGAGAGTCGAGTTGCAAGAGATGAGTATTTGCATAACGATAGACATAACGGGGCATACCGGTCCCTGAAAGCAGTCAATGCGAAACGAATGAACACAATAGCAGTGATGCTGATCATTTGACGTTCCATTCGAGTCAACCATACAGTATAGTCATATTGACACCCTCTACCTTCAAACTTTCAACTCATTGATCTTGACATTTCTCTGGTTATATCCATTGCTTATTGCATATATACGATTCAAAGAAAAATATTTACATTTATTAATTTGCTGCCTTTATCCTCTTCTATCAAATTTACACCAGCTAAAGATTTTTATCGCAATCAGCAATCAAAATACAAAGAAAATGATTAATATCAGGACTTGCAATTAAACAATTGGTATTTTAATTTATTTCTCAAACTATCTCTGTGAAATCACACTACTGATTGTATCAATATATTCTATACTTTCACTATAGGGAATCAACCATTCTTGTCATTTTTATTGATAATATCGGTATAAGTTACTTGATGTCAATTTATATTGAACAACGACAAAGTCTAAATTTAAATCCACTATACAATACATAATATCAATGCGGGTTCAGTTTCGATTCTGACTTCAAAATTAGAATAAAAACACTCTGTACAATTTCAATTTATGTTTTGTTTGTGATTTTTGGATTGAAAATACACAAAGAGAATCAACTCTTAATACAAACCACTGATGTTTATGTCTTCATCAGATCCAAAATAATCAATAGAAACTGATTTTAATTTTAAATAAATAAAAATTAACGTTTAATCAAATTTAAACTATCACTAAACATAACTTAAAATTTGGTGTCTTTATTTTTTTATTTTTATTAATCATTATTTTGGTGTATGGTAACGTATAAATAGATAAATTACAGAGGCGGACAAAATTTTATCAACTTCATGTTGACTAAAATGTTACAGCCGATTCTTATAGGATTTTTGTCGTAGAATCCGAATCTGACCTTGAAAATATCCAATTGGCTCTAGTTTTCGAGCAACAAGAGTTTTAAAGTGCAAAAAAACGCGTTTTTGGCCTTTTTTGCACAGCTGTGAAACAAAAACGCGAGGGAATTAAATGTTCTACATAGGATGAAATGAAAGCTTAAACATTGCTTTTTAATATCAAAAATCAAACAACTTCGTTTTGAACAATTAAAACAACTTAGAACAGGTTTGTGACTCTCAGTGTGTGTAAAATATGACAATAAAGTATAAAAAAAGACAGCAAAACTTTATCATTATGTCGAGCTACCTAAAATAACCAAAAAGCTTGCGAAGCAAACTTTCAGAAGTTTACCACTGCAAGCTTGCATCTTAAAATTTTTTTTTTTTGTAAACCTACATTGACCACAATGTCTGTACTGCGCAATGTACAAAGCTTTGCAAGCTTACGTTGCAAGCTTTTCGTGCAAATTTACTATAGTGGTAACATTTTGCTAATTGTATAAAAAGCTTGTAGGTGAATTGGTACGGTTAAAGCCCATAAAAACACTGTACAAAACTCGTGCGCGCGCAGTCACAAAAACTGTTCTCAGTTGTTTAAATCATCTGATATAAAATTTTTTGGTATTGGATCTTAAAAAGCAATGTTTGAGCTTTCATTTCATCTTAGGTATGTAGAACATTTTATTCCCTCACGTTTTTGTGAATCTGGCTGAAAATGGTTACTCCGGAGTTTTCGGGGTCGCTGAATCCAAATCTTTGGTCGGAAATAAAAAAATTCACAATGTCGGATTCAAAATGGCGACCAAATATTTAAAGTTAACAAATCGGTCTGAAAATGATTACTCGGGGGTTTTCGGGGTCGCTGAATTAGAATTTTTGGTCGAAAATAAAAAATTCTAAATAGTTTCTATCACTAATTTAATAGATCGTGTAAAACCCCCGAGTAACCATTTTCAGCCAGATTCATTAAATTAAAAATTTTTTTTGTCGCCATTTTGAATTTTTTATTTTTGAACAAATATTTAGATTCAGCGACCCCGAAAACCCCCGAGTAACCATTTTCAACCAGATTCGTTAACTTTAAAATTTTTTTGGTCGCCATTTTGTAGCCGCCATTTTTAATTTTTTATTTTTGACCAAAAATTCGGACTCAGCGACCCCAAAAACATACAATATAATAATGTCTTGTTTAAAAAAAAATTTATTGAACATTAATGGCACAAAAACTTTATTTTCACAGGACTGTTAAGGGGTTAAAGGGGAATATTTAGTAATGACCTTAAATTTGTCCTAAATGAGCTTAATTAGGTCATTTCAATATAAACTCATTTTTTTAAATGGAATAATCTACTTTTCATGTTACAAATCAGAAGAGCAGGAAATTCCACGTTGTGAAAAAAATATACAGGGTCAAAGTACTTTTTTCGACAGGTTGACCTATTCAGTCAAATAGGTCATAATCAATTTCACCTACAAGGCCTTGGTTAGGTCTAGTCTAGGTCAAATAATTTTTCATGAAGAAAGATCAAGTTTTTATTCAAGGAATCGTCAGAGCAAGAATTTTTATGTAAAAAATACTAATGTCATGTTTTTAGGACAAATAGGTCATATTTAATTTCTTATTAAACTGTATTTTGTATTAAAAGCATTTTATGCAGCTCTTGCTAGTTTTTAGAAAACAATTCAGAACTCACCACGTGAAGGTGACTGCGCATCAAGTTTCACCTCCTTCTGATCCAACCGATCTACCTTAACGAAAAAGTTTTTTTTGTATTTTATTTTTTAATTTATTTTTAAGTTTTTTTATTTAATAAACCTTCAGGTGGTGAGTTCTGAATAGTTTTCTAAAAACTAGAAAGAGCTGCAAAAAATGCTTTTAATACAAAATACAATTAAATAAGAAATTAAATATGACCTATTTGTCCTAAAAACATGACATTAGTATTTTTTACATAAAAATTTTTGCCGTGACGATTTCTTGAATAAAAACTTGATCTTTCTTCATGAAAAATTATTTGACCTAGACTAGACCTAACCAAGGCCTTGTAGGTGAAATTGATTATGACCTATTTGACTGAATAGGTCAACCTGTCGAAAAAAGTACTTTGACCCTGTATATTTTTTTCACAACGTGGAATTTCCTGCTCTTCTGATTTGTAACATGAAAAGTAGATTATTCCATTAAAAAAAATGAGTTTATATTGAAATGACCTAATTAAGCTCATTTAGGACAAATTTAAGGTCATTACTAAATATTCCCCTTTAACCACAACAAATCTTGACTGAAACATGTTTTTGTAAAATTATTAGTTTAAGGTTATTTCCCCAAATACAATAATAATTAAATGCCCCATTTGTCCTAAATAGGTCAACCTATCGAAAAAAAGTGCATCAACGATTTCGACGTGGAATTTTCTGCTCTATCGATTTCCGGCATAAAAAGTAGGTGGTTCCATTTAAAAAAATGAGTTGACCTTGAAATGACCTAAATTAGGTCATTTAGGTCAAATTCAAGTTTACTTTTATGTTGTTCGTCGTTCAAAATGAAAGTATTTTTAATTTCATTGTTTCTTCCTCTTCTTCTGTTCTATTTCTCCAATCATCCCATTTCACTTTTGTCTCTTGTCTAACCTTTACATTATTTCCTTACAAGTTGGGACATGTTCGATAGTTTCAGCGTTGGTATATAACATCCTTTTCACCACATCTAACTTCCACCATTAGAAGATGAATTTGTTCTTCAGAAATTCAGAGATTAACATCATTTGTCCATATAGGTCCTGTAAAAATAATAAATAAATCGAACTATTTGATTATCGATCGATAATCGAAGAAATTACTATATTCTACTCTATCTCTGACAAAATTTAATATTTATTTATTAGAATGTGTAATAAGTCAATGCAAAGCTTTTGCAACATATGTAAAATAAAATAAAAATTGGAACACAAATGTATAGTGTTCTTTATTGATAAATGGATGATTGAATATTTCGTAATATTTATGCAAATGAGTGTTTTTCTTAGATATATATATGAAATGAAATGCAAATATTTTTATGTGACTTTTGCGAATGATGTCTCTTTCTTGATTGTAATTTTCGCAGAGAAGACATTTCATGTAAAAGATCATCATAAGACGTTTACCGTCACTTGTATGCTAATTATTTTTCTGTGCGTCCCAAGAGACGCGTCCTTTCACTTATGATCCTTCTTATATATCGAATATCATTGATCGTTCGACTATCACTTGGAAAGTGTAAACTGGTGGAGGTTGATTTGATGCCAAGATGCTTATTATGGCTTAGGTACTGTGAACTCCCGTGAACGCAGACAAGCACGTCCACACCTGAAACATTTTTATTCTCGGCTGATTAAATAATCTAACCATTCCTGACATTACAACTGCAACTTTCAAGATATTCATTCCTCTAACTATAATACTGAATACTTTTGAAAATTAATTACTTTTACCTAATTTCAACCCGGGGCGAAATTTAAGGCCTACTTTACAAGGAGTAAAGTAACTAAATTAATAAGTTTTTAAAAGAATATACAAAAATATCGTTGGCAAATTTAGCTTTCTTTCTTAACTTGTCAAATAAAAAATTGTTTTTATTCATGTTAAGAAACTAAATAATAAAATAAATAAATAATAAAAATTTGTAATGTGTCTAAAATGACTTGCTTTTTACGATTTTAACAAGTGGTTTTCACTGAATTAAAATCAGTGGATTTAGCTGAACTAAAATAAAATTATATTTATATTTAAATTAAATATGGTTTTATTATACAGCAAAAAATAAGCACTGCAAAAAATAAGCACTGCAAAAAATAAGCCCAGTGGGCAAAAAACCACGTTCGTTCTAAAAACGTTTTAAGGACGTTTTTAGAACGTTTCATGTCCGCCAAATAATGTTCTGGAACATTATTTGAACATCCATGTTCTTAAAATGTTCCAGAACATTATTTGGCGGACATGAAACGTTCTAAAAACTTTCTTAAAACGTTTTTAGAACGAACGTGGTTTTTTGCCCACTGGGAGACTTTTAAAAAAAATTTCTCCTAAATAAAATAAAATATCGCTTAAAAGAAAAAAATACATTATGTTTTTCACATCTGGTTTGTCTTAGGGCGACCAGCTACAATGGTTTCAGATTACAAGAAAGACTATTCCATGATTTTTTCGAGATCCTTTTTTTTATTATAGATTTTTTTATTCTAAAAGTTTCAGAAACATTGCGTATTGAAATGAACAGATGAAATATCAGAAAATATTTAACATTTTCGAGGAAATTTCCTCAGAAAGGACATTCAAGCATCAGTTGCTGTTCAGCATTCGCAAGCGATACAAACAAACGGACAGTGAGAAACATTTTTTATACTTATATATTATAGTCAAAGTTAGTTTTTTGTGAAGTAAAAAATTTGCTGAAATAATATTCAAGGAGCTTTTAAAAAGGTAAATAATATTTAATATTTCTATTATAATAATAATTATTATTAAACGTTCGAATTGTAAATAAAGAAACTTAAACTTATAATAATTAAGATATATATTATTCTTGTTACGATAATAATAAAGAACAGAACTTTATACATTGAATTTGGATTCGAATATCTGTGTAAGATAAGAACTTAGGAGAACGCAAGTGTTCCAAAATTTGGTTTAGCTTATCCCTTCTCGTATGGAGCAGCGACACAAAGTACATGAAAAAAAGGCGTCAGAAAATCAGTACGACTTAAAACGTTGTAATGAATGGTCTGCTCTTCGAATTTATGTGTGATTCTTCAGAAACGTTACTTTTGATGAAAAAAGTGAATCATTGTCAATAAAATTCTCAATCTTTTAAATAATTTACAGAATTAATAGGAAAATTAATAGACAACATCGTTAACTCCAGTGTAAAATTCTTCATTCCGTAATTCACAAAAAAGTTGTAATAATGTTATATTTTTATTATTTATTTTATAAAAAAAATGTATAGCTCTCTTTATATTAATAAAATTTGATTAAATTCAATAATAAAAATATGTTTATATTTCTTTACCTCGACAAAATATGTTGTGAAATATTCATTATTATTTAGAAACTTTCACAAAAATTTAAGCAAAATTCATAAAAAATCTTGGCAAATATCGACTATTAAAAAATCTTGGGGAATATTTATTATTAATTGTAAATTTCAATACAAATTTCAACAAAATTCACTAAAAAATCTTCGGAAATATTCATCAGGAATTGGGTAATTTCTAGAAAATGTTGGAGAATGTTCACCAAAAAATCGGGGGAAATATTCATTATTAATTGTAAATTTTCACTAAAAATGCAGCAAAATTCACCAAAAAAAATTTGGGGAATATTCATAATTAATTGGGTAATTCCAACAAACTTTTGATGAAAATGCACCAAAAAAACGTGGGGAATATTCCACAAACTTTTGGGGAAAATTTTTCCCTAAAAATTTTAGGTAATATTCCACAAGATTTTGAAAAAAAATTTCCTCAAAAAATGTTAGGGAATATTCCCAAAAAGTTCCCCTTTTTTATTCAATTTATTTTATTTCAATCTTAATCTTAATTTTAGTCATCATTTTCCATCGCTATACCTCGATGCAGAATGATATTTTATAACTAATTTTAGAGTATACTAGTTTAAGGGCTAATGGATAAATAGCCGTGACTTGAATTCTATATTGATTAACTAATAGACTATCTCCATACCATATTATGTTAGTTTTACTGATTAAATTATAATATCATCATCCAATAAAAATTCGCTAATTTCCGTTACTGATTCCATTGTAGGACTGTATATCAGAAGGTTTTATTGAGGAAGGTCTGCTGTTCTGGTTTTAAATTATCTGAAAAAGAATTCTAGAAATTTGCTTCTTCTTTCTGAAAATAAGGGACATTCATTTATATAATGTAATACTGAGCTGATATCGTAACTGCATCGGCAACTCGGTGAAATATTCCAGTTCAGTCTCTGGAATAACTCCCCTACACAAACATGGCCCGTTATAAATCTCGTGATCAGGTTGATGGCTCTCCTAGATAGGTCATAACCAGAGAACCAAGATCTTTCTGATTTGTTTGTGATATAATGAAAATATTTTTGTCGGGATCGTATATCCGGAAAGAAGGCACAGCCACACAAAAAAAAAAAGTACCCGGGCCGGGGAATGAGACCACCATTTCTTGATGTATTTTGATGCGCTGAACACGAATCTGAAGTCCGTTTAGCTCCATCACGTCAGGATTTTGACATAACCTCAAAAAACATAGCTGATTTTAAATGACAGGAGAAATTTTTTAAATAATGGCAGATTTGTTTGAATCTTGTTACTCGGGGGTTTTTGGGGTCGCTGATTACGAATTTAACGTCAGATTTATAAAATTCAAAATGGCGGATTCAATATGGCGGACGAATTTTTAAAAAGTAGTTGGATTTTTACGAAAATTGGTATCTAGGGGTTTTGGGAGTCGCTGATTACAAATTTATCGTCAGATTATTCAAATTCAAAATGGCGGATCCAATATGGCGGACGAGTTTTTAAAAAATAGTTGAATTTTTATGTAACTTGGCCGATACTGGGGTTCCGAGTCCCTGCATCGTAATACGTTTCCTACGTGTGTCTGCCATGACGGCATCAAAGCCATTATCCAGGGACTTAGCCGGATAGCGGACAAACTCCGTTGTCCACCGTCACCGCGTGGAGGTACCCTGGATGCAGACACATGTAGAAACATAAAGATATTTGACCACCGTACTATATCTGCCATTTTACATTTGAATAATCTGACGTTAAATTCGTAATCAGCGACTCCAAAAAACCCCATGATACCAATTTTTGTAAAAATCCAACTACTTTTTAAAAATTTGTCCGCCATATTGGATCCGCCATTTTGAATTTGAATAATCTGACGATAAATTTGTAATCAGCGACTCCCAAAACCCCTAGATACCAATTTTCGTAAAAATCCAACTACTTTTTAAAAATTCGTCCGACATATTGGATCCGCCATTTTGAATTTATTAAATCTGACGTTAAATTCGTAATCAGCGACCCCAAAAACCCCCGAGTAACAAGATTGAAGCAAATCTGCCATTATTTAAAAAATTTCTCCTGTCATATAAAATCAGCTATGTTTTTTGAGGTTTTGTCAAAATCCTGACGTGATGGAGCTAAACGGACTTCAGATTCGTGTTCAGCGTATCAAAATACATCAAGAAATGATGGTCTCATTTCCCGGCCCGGGTACTTTTTTTTTGTGTGGCTGTGAGGGCCATTCTTTTTTAATCATTGCTTTATAATCATTATTAATAACAATTTTAAGATCGTCCCTAGAAAAAAACGCTTTTCTCCCAGCGTGGAAATTAAGGGCTAACTTAGATAATCTATCAGCCTCTTCATTTCCTGGTATTTTGGAATGGGGTGGGACCCAAACTATTTTGATTTTTTGGTTCTGCTCGCGCTGTCAAACAATATGGAAGCCCATGAGGACCCCAAGATAGGTTATTGTTTTTGAATTTAAGATTTGATAGTTTCCCACCCTAATGTTTTCCTGTGATAGATCTGCAGAGTTTCTAGAAAATATGCAAAGTTGGTTTTTGTTTGTGGCGACACTGAAGCCTAGGCTTGATAGCCAGGGAATCAGCCTATCTATAGCCTCCTCTATCCTTGCCTGTGCTACGTTTCCACCCTGGGGGACCCCCACTCCGCAAGTTCTCGGGGCGGAAGATTCCCCACCGAAGTGGAGAACTCTCTTTGTAATCATAAACGATATAAAATTAAACATTCTAGACGACACTCCCAGTTCGTTCAGTTGGTTAAGGACTGACGAAGGCAGGAGGGCATTGAATGCTCCCTTGATGTCAAGCGCAACCACTACTGTTTTTTCCCATTGGAGAAGTTATTCAAGATATCACTGGTCAGGTATGAGACACAGTCTATAGCGGAACGCTCCTTTCGGAAACCGTACTGATGGTCAGGGATAATTCCCTTGTGTTCTACGAAGTATTCTAGTCTGGTGTGAACCAGCCTCTCCATCAGCTTACCCCAGGCTGATGTGAGAGAGATGGGACGGAATCCCTTTCCACTGGGTTTGGGGATAAATTTGACCAGAGTGGATCTCCAAGAACTTGGAAATTCAGATTGTTTAAAGCAGACATTAAAAAATTCTCTTATTTTCTCCAGAGGGTCGATTCCGTAACTTTCCCACATCAATATATATCAATATATATGGTTGCTCCAACCACAGTGTTTTTTCTATGTGGGAAATCGAAAGTAATAAGTGGGAAATTATGAAATGAAAAATAGAAATTGGGAGATTAAAAGATAAAAT